TGCCTTTGTTGAACTTCATTCTACAGGATTTTCCAAGTACACAGGGTTCACAAAACTTCAGCTTTTCGATTTTATCTCCACCAAGCAGATTTTGTTTCCCTAATTCAACCAGACCCCTTTCACTGACATGGCCCAATCTCATGTGCCAAATTTCTGTCTTCGACAAAGGTTTCGTGGATGCAACATTTGTCGAACCACTTACAACTTCAGCCTCAAGGGTATACAAGCCTTGTTTCTTCACGCCTCTCAAGACTTCCTTCGACCCTTTCATGACTCTCAGGATACTTTTCTCTCCTTGAAACACATATCCTTTCTTGTCGAATTCACCAAGAGAAATCAAATTTCTCTTCAAATCAGGTACATACCTGACTTCAGTCAACAATCTTATTGACTCATCATGGAGCTTGAATCTCACAGATCCAACGCCTGCAATCTTGCAAGCTTTGTTGTTTCCCAGCAATACAGATCCACCATCTTGATCACATAATTCCTCGAACAAGTCTTTGTTTGGAGTCATGTGCCAAGTGCATCCAGAATCCATAATCCACTCCTTCGACGAGTTGTTGCTTGAAACCACAAGAACATCAGATGATTCGAAATCATCTTGGACAATAGCTGCATTGCCATTATCCTTACCTCCATGATCTTTCAGGCGTTCAGGGCACACCTTTCTTGTGTGACCTACTTTCTTACAGTGATAGCATCTAATACCAGATGCGTCACCACTATAAGACTTCGACTGATTTTTACCTTTCCTCTTGTCGAATTTTCCTTTAACAGCCAAACCTTCACCAACCGTCGAAGGTTTATGCTCCTTACGTTCGTTCAAGTCCTTAGAGTACAAGGCTGATTGAACTTCTTCAAAGGTCAGGGACTCTCTTCCATACAAGAGGGTTTCTTTGAAGTGAGCATGTGATCTGGGCAAAGCGCACAACAATAACAACGCTTGATCTTCATCATCAATCTTTACATCAATATTTTCAAGATCAAGAATCAGCTTGTTGAACATATCCAACTGCTCAGCCAACACTTTGTCTTCGATCATCTTGAATGAATACAAAGCTTGCTTCAGGTAGAGTCGATTTACCAGAGATTTGGTCATATACAAACTTTCAAGTTTCACCCATAACCCTGATGCCGTCGTCTCCTTTGATACCTGTCGAAGAACCTTATCACCAAGGCTCAACAAAATTGCGCTGTGTGCTTTCTCGATCATGGCCGTCTTCTCTCTTTCTGTTAACGCAGCGTCCATCGCCGTCGCTCCCTTCAACGCTTCCAAACAACCCTGCTGAACCAGTAGGGCTTTCATCTTCAAGCGCCATAGACCGAAATCATTCACTCCGGTGAACTTTTCAATCTCATATTTTGTTGAAGGCATCTTCTCCACGCTCACCGCACCAATTTGTTGTGAATTCAATGCCAATAACAAAGTATAGTATTTGGGAAGAATAAAGAACAAGGAAGAAGAAGAACACAAGAATTGGTTATAACTGCTATTCTTTCCTTTCTCTTAGAAAACAAGATTACAAGTTTACAAGAATAACAAATAACCCTCTCACCCTAAATTAGGATTTGCTGTGATGGCAATGATGAGAGACTAGTATGCTATTTATAATAAAACCTAACATACTAACTAATGGGCTTTTTCCACAAGGCCCATTATACAAGCTAACTTAACAAACAAGCTAACTTAACAAATTAGGGTTTAAACACTAAAACCTAATTCGACAAGTATCCTTCGACAAGTACTTCGACCAACTAGAGTTCGATCCAAAATCCCACATGACTTTATGAGAATGGTTCTTGGTCATTGATAAGTTTAAGTTGACAATCCATGTGAAGTGTTTGTACTAAATTATAATGGTTCCAACTTTTCTTTATTGACACAAAAAAACAAAAGACAAAATAATAATTATTATAATAATAAAAATAATAATAATAATAATAATAATAATAATAATAATAACTAAAAGTGTTAGTGATAATAATAAATACAAAAATAAAAAATAAAAGAGACATTAAATTAACTATTAATGATTTTTTTTTTCTTGAAATAAAATAAATGAGAATATAAGTGCAAATTAAAAGATAAAAAAATAAAATACATATAAGAAAGTAAAATGACTTATATAAACTTTTCTAGATTTTTTTTTAAAATAAATGATACCAATATATAAATTTTAATTAATAAAAGAACATATTTTTGATAATTTTTTAATAAAGAGGTAAAAATAGTAAATAAAAAAATAACATGATGCTAAGTATATTTTTTTATGATTTTTTTAAGTAGAAAAGAAATCATGAATAAAACATAATAAAAATCAAATTTCACTAAATTCATAAACGACTTCTAACGTTTCTATTTTTCCGTGGCTTTTCAAAGCATAATCAGCTCTTGACTTGTAAATAGAGATTGTAGATGATGTCAAGGAGAATCATATGCAAAAAGAACCGCTCAAAAATGTTAAAATTTGAAGAAGTTGTAAATTTTTGAAATCTAACTCAAGAATTGGCAAAAATAGGTCAAACCACTCGTGAACACTTTTTATGCAATGATGCAAATGGAGAGTGGGATCTTAGGTCAAAATTTGGGGTATGACAACTTCCACTTGGTTTTGTACACGATTTCTTTGTAGTCTGACTCCCCTGCGAAGCCTCGCCATATTCGCACTGACTAGGATCACGATGCACGTCACTCTCCTCACCCTTTGTACTCTTCTTAACTCCCTTCTTTGGCTTGTACTTCACCGGTGGTGGACACATTGAAGTTGTGGATGGACAGGTTAGATGACGAACTTTTTTTCTTCAACACTCTTTGACCCATAATATCCAAAGTACTAAAATATTTCTTCAACTCTTCACACTCTTCTTCTAGATCTCACTTACTCTCTTCAGGACGCACATCATATTCTGAAATGTGCAGTTTCGTCCAAAATACATGAGTTGATTCCAAATGTATAGGGGTGCCTAAATTTTGAAAATCTGCAAGTAGACACGCACACAGTAACTCATGTGTGTTCTAATGAAACAACTGCATCTCTCCTTGCTTGAACCAACAAATTTTACTCTTTCTAGTTCCTTCCCAATGAGTTGTATACATTATCTTGAGATAAAAGCGTGCAACTTAGCATAAAATTGAATGGTATAGTGATGCTCAATGTTGACTATACTTTTTTAAAACGATACTCTTATGAAACCTAGTTGCAACTTCAACATGGTGTTCACAGCATTCCAACTTCGGCATAAATCACCACGAGATGTATTCAACAAGTTTTTTAGTCTCCAATGTGCAGTGTCCACCCTAAAATAACATGTTTCAAATTAATATCGTAACATAAACATGTATAATAATGACATTAAAATGTCACGATCCGAGTACTTGTTTGTTGTTGTGTTTCCTATAGAAAAAGACAATTGAAAACGTTAATTTTGTTGATGTACACATAATCAACCAGCTTACTCAACATATTTTATTATAGGAGAAGTAAAATTCTTACCTATTTGTCTTGTATGTGCAATCAAAAATTAACACCATATGAAACATATTCAACAACTTCACAGAATCAGGATGTGCCCAGAAGATCAGCCACAATTTCTGAATTCTCCTTATTTCTAGTTCAACACGTGTATTTGTCTTGGTGAATAAGGCTCAATAACATTTGAATCTCAATCATTGCACCTCTCTTCTCAATATGTATGTTGCTTTAGCTCTATATACCTAGGTAATACTCGTGAGATTTTCTGGATCTTTGTCTTTCAAACCATAAATGATGTACCATGGTGTCATATTGTACTTCATCATGTCATTCACAAACTTTTTCATGATCTTTTAGACGTCCTAATATATCATGGTCATCCAAGCCCTTATCTAGTTTATGATTACGCATCCTGCATCTAACCACCACCTTCCAACTGATACCACTTGGAACAGATCTCAGCCTAAAGGGGCATCTAACTTTCATAATATATATGTCATCAGAGGTGGACCCAGATTCCTTTTTTTCTTTTGAAATTTCCTCCTTTATCAGAACCAATAATCAATTTATCATTCTTCCCTCGTATTCCATCAGCTAAATCTGAACGAATTGTAACAACACCAATACTATGTTTTTTACCGATAGATTGTGTCCATTCTAGAACTTTAGGACGGGATTCAAAAATCTGTCAAATACAACAACATATAATTAGTAAACTTCATCAATTTATTTAAGGTTGACATACAAATAATAATGTATAAGTTCAATAGAAGACGTACAATATATTTGATGAAGAACTACGTAACATCAGTACATGAATCCGTAAAAGAAGCTGAAATTGTCATCTCTGAACTGCAAATGCATAAAATTTCATCTGCAAGCATACAAAAAATTTCAGACATAACTGAAATTTCCAATAATACAGAAATTTAAAATTTCTGGTGTTACGTTTCTTTCCAAAAATTTGCGTAATTTCTAATTTATGCAATGGTTTTTGAAAATCGTCCCAAAAATCTATAAATTTTCAAGTATTTCGCAACCGAGTATTTGGAAATTTCCAATATTTCGCAATCAAAAATTTGCAAAATGCAAAGTATTCCGATATACGCCAAAATTGGAGTACTGGAAATTTGATAAGCGTACCGAAAATTTTGTTTTGACCCACTTTGACCAATAATAAAAAAAATTAACAAATATAAAATTTTTAGATAAATAGTGAAAGGGACATTTTAGAAATAATGAAATATGGAAGTGGCATGTATAATTGAGGAGTAAGATGTTAATTCCTCGCTATCGTGGTTTCATGATCACATCTTCAATGACCCTCTTCAAAAGCTCAGGCTTAACTTTTTCTTTTCTTTTTGACGTATGGAGCCCGAAGTTTGGAAATTTGAACAACTTCACATGTACGACCACCCTTCGTTATGTTAAAACGCCACACTATAGACTCTTCTAACTAAGAATATATAAATAATGCATTTCCTTAACCCAAAACTTCCCTAAACAATACAGAAGAATTAATTTTCAGTTATTTGGAATTCTCTCATAGAAAAGCAGGCTGGCCTCAGCAGAAACAACATCATCCACTGAAACAGCATCCACATGAGAATCTGAAACACGAAACCAGTGCATTGAATTTTGATTGAAGCGATCGCCAGAGACATCTGAGGACTCAGATCTCACACATCTGTAAACACTGTAATGCCCTCCTCCAGTTCTTCCAAAGTGTTCCACAACAGAAACAAGTTGATACAAACATGTGTCTTGAGAAACTGAATTACAAGAAACATCGACCTGCATAAAAAGCACAAAATAAGAGAACTAAAAAAGAACATCGCCGAGCATGTCAATGTCATATTAATCCTCCTTACATTTTAAAGATCATTTCAGAAGAAAATACACTTTCATTTAAAACTTAAATATTTGTTCAGTCCTTGGATTTGGTTAAGAGTTTGAATGTAGTTCCTAATCCTTATGACATTTTTCATGGTTTTTGCCTCTCATTATTTTAAAGCTAAATCTTTTAGCCCCCGCTTTAATCAAGGTTTAAGTGGTGAAATGGAAAACCGACAGTCACAACATCATTGTCATGTCATTCATTTTAAGTGGTAAAATGAATGAATCAATACAGAAAATATGGACCAACCTTGTCATTGGATTGCAACTGCGTGTTTGAGTGAATGCTTTGTGAAGAGCCAGAACACGGAAGTTCAGCAAGTTCCTGTCTACTAGTAGCAGAGATAACCACATCATGGATAAGAGTATCTGCATCGATCTGCTCTTTTGCTTCTCCATAAATGGCACTGGATTTAATCGTTCTTATCTCAGAATGCAGATTGCTATGGTTTGGCATAGAACTTTTTTTGCTATACTGCATATTTAATGGCAGACTTTGTACATCTTCCTGTATATTTACTCCTAGTCTAGTGGTCATGAATGAGGATGCATCCAAAATCAATGGAAAAGAAATATGGCCCTGAAACACCATCATCAAGGCAACAACAAAAAATCAGCGAAATTCAATGAAACTTAATACTATAGTACTCGGTTATTAAAAAATTCATAAAAAAGGTAGGCAGGTCTAAAATGATAGTCAAGTATATGTCCAACACATACCCATTTAAAAGTGCAATCAAATAAGCATTATGCCTGGTCAACATTTGTTTATTTTTGTGTGATCAGGAGGATTAACAAAAATAAAACCGTAAAGGAATGGAAGGATTTAATACATTAGAGCAATGAAGAACAGATACTCTAAAGTCTCTACCAAATCATATTCGGTATACGCTTTGAGACATATCAAAGGGGTATTCAAATCATATTCGGTATACGTTTTGAGACATATCAAAGTGGTATCCATATATTTTTATTTTGAAAAAAATAAATCCAATACGCCCCGGTACGGCAGCGACCCTCCGCATACGCCACGGATATGGTCGGTTTATCTAAAGACTTAAATTTTTTAGAACTTAAACCAAAATTTCCCCTCTTAATTGCTCTTCTCTCAACTTTAATTACCTCTCATGACTGTTCATTTCTCTATATCAAGAATCAAACTTTTCTCTCCTTAATTACCATTATCTCTACTTTTTTTGTTAAGTAGCCCAATGGCTGGGGTTCATCTTATTAAAGATGAACAAGTGGAACGTGACAGGTTCGAATCAGCGTCCCTACACCCCTTGTCCCTACACAGCTACCAACTGACCTGCCTTAACGGGACTACTTTAACTACCTGTTCTCTCTCCTAAGTACTGCACTTTTGACGCACCCATTTGATATTCTATCAGGATTGCCACTTTTCAAGGTTGGTTTCTTTTTTTTATAACTCCTTTACCAATTATTAAATTTTGCAAATTCAATTGGTTTGTGTTGGACAATGATTTAAGTTAATGTATAATTTTTACTTATATACCTCAAGCATATCATATCATATATTTTTTAATGACCGACGTATAGTGTATCAGATATGTTTGTGTCTGTGCTACATTGCATTAGAGATTACCTGAAGTTTGAATGACTCTCCAACATCATTCATGTGAGCTCTTTTCAACTGGATGCATAAAATCTGCCACCAGACACTTAAATGTTTCAGTAGTTCAGAGATTGAACAACAAAAGAACAGATATACATGAGAAAATTAGATATACCAGATAGCACAATTAGCCATACCCTTGGACACCGAGCAATATTTAGCTGCTTCAAAGCATGTGAAAACCTATTTGACCACGGTAGATTTTCAAGATTATATGTTTTTTGGCAATCGCAGAATTCTTGGTCAGAACACCTCCTAAGTTTTCCAAGTTCTACCTGAGTAACAACGGCAAAAAATTCACAGCTTGGCAACATAAAGAACAGTCAATTGCTAGAGTCAGCAACCAACATCTATGCATCACTCGGCTATTTTTATCTATATCTAAATAAATAAAAGAATCACATAGGAATGACCTTGTCTCCTTCCATCAAGGAAAGATACTTGATTGCTGCGTTATGCCAACAGTGGCTGCAGTGGTAGTTTTCAATGTGTTCAGCTACAATGAACTGCTTCAAGCAATCCACCAGTGTACAACCAACTCTCTGCAACCAGTAAAATTTAACAGAGTTACAATAGGCATGTAGCACTTCAACCATCAAAGGAATAACATTGAAACTACAATATAAGTGATATTGATTTTAAAACTTACTACGGTGTAACTATTACTAAGCACGGGCGAAAGAGGCAAACAATCAAAATTTTCAAATTTATTTGAGATCTGCAAAATGAACAAATATGAAATTAAAAGATATTTAAAAAGAAATACAAAAGACTGGAAAAGGGAAACACTATCAGAATCACATTAAAAATGAAGAAAGAAGATATTATCATTAAAAAACAGAATAAAAAGCATATAAATAAAATTGTTATCAAGAAATTGTGTAAACAGCAGCATATCATGATAAAAGAAAAGTTTTAACATGGATGTCTCATTCCTTGCACATACCACGGACCTGGACCAACCAAAAAGCACACACTATGGGGTCATTAGTAACTTGGTTTACATGTTTGGAGTAATTATGTGAGATGAATTTAGTCATTTTAGTAACCTACATGCGACAATAAGTCTTGTCATCATCAACTAATGTTGTGACCTTATGATTTATATTGTTTACCATTACCATCATTAAATCTATCAACAGGTCAATGAACAAAAGTGAAACATAGAACAAAGTCAAATTTGGCATTTTTCTTCAGCTTCAGGAACCCAAGTCATGCCAACCTATAGCCAAATTCCTATATTTGTATTTCTGGCCATTTTCAAATGACCAACATTAATTCTTCCAAGATGTTTTAGCAAGTGGCTGTAATGGTATCCTACAACTTTTTACTTCCAATTCCAAATGCAACAATAGAAACCAAAACATGAATTGTCAATAAAACATCAATCTGAACAATAGTCCTCCCAATAGCCAGTTATATAATGACTTCAAACATAATACGTGTCAACAAAAGATGCAGAATTGAGCGTCATATTTTTTTTATGAAATGCGGTCTAAAATTACAAACAAGAACTAGAGTGTGTATGTGCAATCAACTATCAAGGAAAAGTTTGTTAGATTGCACTGACAAAAGTCTTCTATACCTGGGATGAACAAGTTTGACAAGTTAAGCTGCTACAAAGAATCCCGTCAAAGGGTCCAAGATAGAGGCGGCGCCATCTCTCAGGCTCACTCTGCCAGTCCGTCTGTATTGGAGTAAGAATTCTATTATTAGAAGCAAAAATGTCTGCTAAAGAACTTATCTTTGGAGCATAACAACCTCCAGATACTTCTCTCAAAGAGCACAGTAGATGAACAAACGCCTCAGCAGCATCCTACAAAAACAAACAAACAAACTAAGCACCGAGCAGAAAGAGAATTAAAACAACAAGCTAATGACAAAAGGAACGCAGCTCTACCTGCTGGCTCGTCAGATCAAAATCTGGAATGTAGCTGGACATAGCACGCATTAAATTTATCGGACTCAATACAACATTTTCTGTACTAACTAAGCTCAGCTCTGCACTCACGGAGAACAGTACGCTATTACAATTTATAAAAGTATATAACAGTGATTTTCCACAATTTGAAAAATGAAACTCCATTCAATCAAAGAATTGAAAAATAAAATAGAATAACAGAAAAGAAGAAAAAAAATTGCTAGTGCTACCTTGTAATAAAGAAGCCAGAGAAAAGACAAGAGGCATGTTTTCATCATCATTCTCATATTCTGCAATAACACTATCAAGAAAACTCTGAAAGCAAACGCAACTAGCAAGAGCCTGCAAAACGACGTTGAGGAAACAATTATTCCCGAGGTTTTGCAAACCGGGAATCAAAAGCGGTTTTTCGGAAGCGTTGTTATATTTAACCAATGATGTGAATGGTTTGGACGATCTGGTATCTTTTAGAACGAAGATGATACCAGCGGCAGCTACGGTGGCAATGCCGGTAACTGCTGCGCGAATGGTGAGGGTTTGACGGAACCATAGCGTCTTCTTCATAGCGAGGGTTTGTTGAATCGAGGAATGAGATTGTGTTGAGTTCGTTTCAGTAGCTTGGCGAGTTGAGACTACAATCACTCCTATTACTGCGAAGGGTTGTCTTTTTGGAGCGGCGAAATTGGCTCGACCGATTGGGTTATAAAGGAAGGGGTTGTTCCTCCGCCCTTAACGGTGGTTAAGAGGCATGCTAATTAATGAATTCCGAAATTATCCTTTTAAGATTTTAGAACTATAGATTAGGGGTGGCAATCTATAATATAAGAAAACAAATGACTCTTGTTATTTCTATTTTGATCTTTGCTAATCAAATTACATCTATTGAATTAAAGGGGTAAATTGTGTCTAAATATTATTTTTTGTGATTAAATTCTGTATTTATTAAATTTGAACTATTAATTCATATTTTTTATTTTTTATTACCCACCTTTTACAATTTCTTTTGAATAGTTTCCTTTTAGACGGAACTTGATTTTTTTTCTCATCTTTCCGATGCAAAGGGTTGTACCTTTTGCATTCATCTTTTCTTTCTATCTCTTTATGATTATATCTCTCTCTATCATTTCGTTATCTTTTTTTACTCCAACATTTATTTGTTACTCTCATCTGATTTTTCTCTATCCACCGTGTGATACGGTGGGAGAACTGACTATGGTTTTGCGTTTGTATTCGCAAATGTTTCGGTTGAGCAAGAGTCGCCACCGACTTTTCATTTTATCCTAAGGAAATGTTTAAAAAGCACAGCAAAAACCTTTGAGATGTTTTCTTGGGTTCGGGGAGTAGATTATAGGAAGGGAAGGTATTAGCACCCTTTCTATCCATGGTTATCCATGGGCTCTTAGTTACTTGCTTAGATCAACTTGCCTTAATTTTCAATTGTTTGAAATGGTGCTTTGTGTGCGTGGGTTTGAAAATGTTTTGAAAAGAGGCCAATGTGGTGGCAACCTTTGTAATGATCCATGTTGGGATGTATACAAAGATGTATGTCTTTTGAAAAGGTTTTCATTTGTTTTTGAAAGTTTGTTTTGAAAGTGTTGTGAGGTGTGGTTTTAAAAATAGGCAAGTGTTTTGTTTTGCAAGTTTGATTCAAGTAACTAAGAGGTTATCTACTCCTAAATTTCTCAAAGATTTCTCCTATGTTTTTAACCCTTTTAACAATTTTGTTCCACCATTGCATTTGGTGGACAATCTTGTGTTAGGATGTGAAAGGGACGGGCGCGGGTCATCGTTTAGACCATAATTGCAATGGTGCCAAGTATCTTTGGGCAATTTTCCTTTAAGGGACTTGATCATTTTTAGGCAACTTTCGAAAGCGTCATCGAGGGACTATGATCATTTGAATTGTTTTGTTTTGCCCAAAGAGACCTAACATGCAACATGGTCCGTTTATTGAAGGCAACAAGTGGAATACCCTAGGGGGTGCAAGTGTGATTGGTGTTGTCCATTTTCATGCTTGTTTATCTTGAAATTAGGTCAAACTATTTTTGGTTGATTGATTTGCATACAAACCCTAATTCTAGCATGGTATAATTAGAAAGCATTAAAGTGCGAAAAATAAAGTTCCTAAGTTATTACAACACAATATATGGGAAGGGCGGTACAAATGTTCAAATGGGGGTATTTTGACAAGGAATTTAAACCTAGACTATTACATCAAATTGAGAATTTACAAGATATTTAATATACAACAATTAAATAAAAATGGAATAAATATGCAAGATGCAAAAAATGTTTTTTATGTGTATGAAAAAAAGTATTTTTTATATGTCAAATAAACAAAATAAAAAGTATTGATTTTTGGATTTTTATGTATTTAGGGCAAAACCCTAATTTATTAAATAAAAGGTATTAATCATTTAATATGTACAATATTCATTTATTATATACAAAAATAAAATAAAAATGAAGTATATTTGTAAAAAGGTATTTTTAATATTAAATATTAATTAAAAAAAATAAAATGTATATATTTGCATTTTAACCTAAATATATTAATATATATATGCATTTGTGTTATTTATTAAATATATTGAATATATACAAAATAATAATATTTAATATTTATAAAAAATATATATTTTATATAAAATATTTTCAGAAGATAAAATAAAATAAAAATGGAAAATAAAATGTGTTTGCATTATTTTAGTATTTTTTAAATAAAAATATATGAGTATTTATTTATGTACAAATATTAATCTAAACAAATAAATGCCTAATAAATATAAAAATGGTGTGAAAAATATTTTTTATATTTTTAATATTATTATAAAAATAAATAAGTCAGAACAAAAAAAGAAAAGATCAAAAAATCATAAAAATAAGCATAATGGGCCAGGGTGGTTCAAAAGTAACAAAAGGGTGCAAAAAGAAATATGCAACAGAGCCCAGCCTAAAAAGTCCTTCTTCAACCTCCAGACTGTATGAACAACAATGAACACGCGTTTTCTATCTTCCAATTCCTGGACTTTCAAGCAAAACTCACAACATGAAAAATGTAGAGCATTAAGAGACGAATCCAGACATATAAAGAACTTGACTTAACTCTCTAAGATGAGAGAGAATTTCTTCTCCCCCAATTCCTGACCTAGTTTTTGTTCCATGTTCAGACATTAAATTCTCACAGCACACATAATATAAATGAAAACTAATTACATGGGCATGTTCAGGGCTATGAATGTGACATATTTTCTTCACAAACCTAAAGCTAACAATGCCTGGATAGAGAGATACAAGTTCATGAACTTACCTGTTCAGTTGGAGTTGTATCTGTTGATGGAGGTACTTTCAGTGCAAGGTGATGATTGGTACAGCTTCCTTGATGTCCAGGGATGCTATTCCAAGTTTTACTTTGCTTTGAAGCTAGCTGAATCGAGTTATAGAACTCCACCTGCAAAACAGAAAAATGAAAATGGTGATGTTGAATGGGAGTGTTACAGGTCGTGTTTGAGGTTTGGAATAGCTTCAAGGAATGATGTGGGATGTGTTTGAAGTGATTTTAGCAGGAATGCATGAAAGGATTGAGCTATGGAACTCAATCTGCAGCAGATACTCTGTTTGGGCAGTTTGAGGGTGATTCTGTGTTTTAGAAGGCAATGGAGATGGTTGGCTCGTGTTCTAGCTCAGTTAGGATGTTTAGAAATTGTACAAAGTCTTTTCTTAAGGCTTGGTTTACAGGAATGATAGTTGTGTTATGTTATGCTATGTTTCTTCTTACTTAAGCAACAAAAGGCCAAGTTCAGTTTCTAGCTTGTACAGTGAAGTGGTGAAAAACACAAGAAGGGGGGGTTGAATTGTAAAACTGAAATTTAATGCAATGAACACGATATTTTTATCCTGGTTCGTTTGATCTCAAACTACTCCAGTCCACCCGTCAAGGTGATTTCGCCTCTCTCCAACGAGGTCTTAATTCACTATATTCAACTGAATATTACAGACTGCTTCAACAACTGCTAAAGCCTTCTTGATCCAAACCACAACCCGGTTTGTCAAGGTAACACTTTCTTACAAAGAGATAAAACTAAGTGTGTGGATGTTTTCTACAAAACTGTATCACAACTGTGATGTATACACAAATTGAAGCTTAGAAACTAGATTGCTAAACAATGATAGAATATCAGAGTGTGTGGTTTAGCAAAACTAAGAAAAAGAAGATTATGATAGCTTTTGTGCGTGTAGAGATTTTGAGAGCATTAGCCATTTCAATCTTCAAAGTCTTGTTTATATAGCACTGAGATGATGAACGTTGGATGCAATATTCTTGATTCAATGCTAATAACAAACTTTCCTTATTGAGCAGATCTTGTTTTGGAATGAGGCCGTTGGAATTAATTTGCTTTCAATGCACAGTACCGTTGCTTACTTAATGCAAGTTCTGACTTGGCTCATTCTGACTCTGCTTCGCTGCTGATGAACTGTTGTGTTTCTTTATCAGAGTGTTGAGCGCAGTCTTGTTCATCAGGCTTCAGCATGTACGTGAGTTGATCATCTGATTCTGGCATTCTGATATGGCAACTTCTGATGCTGGTGTCTGAAATCAAGTTCTGATGCTGAATAGATGTGATCTTGCTTATATCAATCAGAGTATCTGCAAGTCAGAACATAATAATTTTAGGCAGCAGATAGTTCATACATGAAACTTATAAATACTATATCTTTTCACTTTATTATCATCAAAACTTAAATATAGGGTAGTAGATTCAAACTTTGTTCTAACAATCTCCCCCTTTTTTATGATGACAAAAACTAGATATTTTTAAATGAAAATAACGTGAAAAGGTATCTGAGATATGTATCAGAGTAAGAAGTAAAAGGATAAGGAGTAAAGAGATATCAGAGTTGAGATACTCCCCCTGAGTTTATTACTTCCCTTTGATTACACGCGTTCTTAAGGATCAGATCTTTTTGCCTTTCTTTGAACATCAGAGTATCAGAGTCTTTGACTTATCATAAGCTTTATGTCAGAGCAGAGCTTCAGAGCTTTTCTTGTCAGAGCTTTGCTTTGGATCAGAATATCAGTGGATCAGAACTTCAGAGCTTCTAGTCTTCAGAGTGTCCAGGAGCTTCCTTGTACCTGTAGACTTTAAGCAAAACAGAAAACATTTTCAAGTAATAGAGTTAGAATGTTTGAGAATTTCTGCCTAGTTAGCCGTTATTGATTAAAATATCATTCTTGTTCTCCCCCTTTTTGTCAGCAATCAAAAAGTGTAGGTGATGTGCTAAAACAATTAAGATCAGAAAAACTAATCATATTAAGATAGTTCAGAATCAAAATAAGAGAATAGTACAAAACATATTCAAACAGTACATCAGAAAATCAAGGGAAAACATGAAAAATGACATGAATGAAAAAGAAGACTAAGGTTGAGGAGGCAAGCGTGTGAACAGGTTCTCCAGCATGGCTTGGATCTTTTCAGCAGTCTCATTCTGCTTGTGCACCATGCTGACAACAGTGTCAATCTTGCTATCATGCACATCCATTCTCTCTTTCATCTTCTTATCAC